CAGAGATAATACCAAGAACAGTAATTAGAGTGGAAGGTCAACTTCATTAGCTTTGGGGTTTGCCCTGGGAATGGGTGGAACACACTTCTAGGGGTGTCTGCATGGGTCATGGAGGCATGGGTTGGGGTCCGTGTCTGGCTCCTGGTCCCTTCCTCTCCAGTGCTGTCCCTGCCCTGCTTCCTGGTGCCCATGAACTGAGCAGCTTTGCTCCGTCAGGCCCCTCTGCCATGATGCTCCTGCCTTGCAGCCAGTTGACCATGGACTGAACTATGAACCAAATTAAACTTCTCCTTAAGTTGTGTTAGGTGCTGTAACTCAGCAATGGGAAAGCTGATTTTAAATTGAGGAACCGGTCTTCATAGCTATAATGGGACGTTTTATCACGGTAAAATGGAGTCACAAACAAATTATCACCTCCGAGGGTTGTTTGTCCAGTGCTCTGTTCCCCAACTTCTCATTCAATGCTTCCTCCACTTGGCTACATTGATGTAAATTTTTCCTGATCCAGATGCAAAAATTACAACCGTTCTGAAAGTTAAAACTGTAAACAATCTAATCAAAGGTCAGAAATTGTCAGACAAATGAGACGTGACCCAATCATGGGAGATCTACAAGATACATACTTCAAATACAGGAATGTGGATGGGCTTCAGGTACAGGATAGACAAATATATACCACAGAAACTCTAAACAGAGAAACTGGAGTGGCAATGTGAGAATCAGACAGTGTCCAGAACAGAGAAATTAGGAGAAAGAAAGCAGGATGTTATGACAAAGTTCAATGCATAGAAGACATAATAATCTTAAATGTATATGCAAGTAACAACAGAGTCTCACACTGCATGAAGAAAAACAAACAGAAATTAGGTGAGAAATAGACACATCCACACTTGTTGTTGGAGGCCTCAGCATCTCCTGGCAGTTGCTGGAATTGGTAGAAAGCCTACAAGAGGGGCTGGGGATTTAGCTCAGTGGCACAGCACCTGCCTGGCAAGCACAAGGTTGTGAGTTTGATTTCTGATACCAGGAAAAAAAAAAAAAAAGAAGAAAGCCTACAAGAGTATAAGCTAATGGGACATGATCAGCAACCAACCAGTCCAGTTAGGTTGCATGGAAAATTCACCATGATAGATCAGTTCTGGGAATACAACCAACCTTAACACCTGTAAAAGACTGGAAATTAAACCATGCACTTTTGAGCATATGAAATCAAACTGGTCAAAACAGAAAGACAAAAAGGAAATCTTGACATACTGGGAAATTAAACAAGACACATCTAAATAATCCATGGGTCAAAGAGGATGCCTCAAAGGAAAACATACTTTAAACTGAACTATGGCTAAAGTAGTGCTTAGAGGGAAATTTTTTTTTTAGTATATGTGCTGCCAAAGTGAGCACCTTAGCGGGAAATTTATAGCATAAATACTTATCTAAGGAGAGAAGATAAAAAATCAAGCCTGTTGGCCAGGCATGGTGGTGCACACCTGTAATCCCAGCACTTGGGAGGCTGAGGCAGGAGGATCACTGTGAGTTTGAGACCAGCCTGGGCTACAAAGTGAGCTCAAGGCTAACTTGAACTGCACAGAGAGACCCTGCCTCAAAAAGACAAAAAAAAAAAAAAAAAAAAAAAAAAAAAAAAAAAAAAAATCAAGCCTCCACCTGAAAAAGCTAGCATAATTTTTAAGAACAAGATAAAATCAGCAGAAAGAGAGCAATAGCAAAGGGAAGAAATCAACGGAATTGCAATGGAAAGATGGTGGGAGAAAAGAATGAAACTCACAAAACTATTTCTTTGGAAAGATAAATAAAACTAAAGTTCTATGAAGACTGACAAAAGTTTTGAAAAAAAAGGAAAAGAAAGATGATGCAAATTACAAATATCAGGAGTGGAGAAGCAGACATCACTACAGAGCCTACAGACGCCAGAAAGATGACAGGGGACACCTGGCCACGCAGGGGACCCTCGCAGCCACTCGGGGGACATGGGCAGCTGTGGTAGAGTCACAGGGTAAAGCAGACAGTGAGAACCACCGCAGCTCATCTGAGGGGCAACACACAGCTGTGACAGCTCTGACTGCTAGAGACATCAGTCTGTGGGTAGAACCCTGAGGCACTGCCATGCCCAAATGGCCACACTAGGAAAACTTCCACATATTTAAAGAAGAAATGACACCACCGTGACAATAGCAAAATTTCTTTAAGAAAACAGGAAAGGAATTCCTTTAATAAAGTCAGCATTACTTTCATATCAAATCCAGACAAACATTAAAGTACTATTATCTCTCATGAATGCAAAAACCCTCAACAAAATATTAGCAATTGTATCCAGCAGTAAATGAATGAATAAATAAATATGCTTTTATTCTAAGAATGCAGGATAACTATTCAAAAATCAGTCTATGTAATTCACCATGTAATTTTCTACAGAAGAAAAAACACACGATAATATCACTTGATGTAGAAAAAGTAATACTCTTAAATAATAAAAACTCTGGAAGAGAAACCTCATTGGATTAGGAAGCCCACAGAACCCCTCAGCTGACCTTACAAAGACGGGACCTGTTGAAGGTCCCGGTCAAGGCCAGGATGCCCACTGTTTTGGTTACTTTTCTCTCGCTGCTGGGACAAAATACCTGACGCCCAAAATTAAGGAGGGAAAAGTTTATTTCGCTTACAGTTCGTGGAAGTTTTAATCCATACTTGGCGGGATTATAGGCAGAGTGGCACATTGTAGAGAGCTGCATCTCAGGGCAGTAGCACACAGCTAAGCCGCAAGCACCCACCAGGGTGGAATGGGGGAGGAATGCCCCCAAGCAGCTTCTTCCTCTCCCTTACATATGCAAACTATCCACTCCAGGGGGGGGTGTAGCTCTCACACCCACAATCATTCAACTCTAATAGCCTGCCCCATGGTTGCATGAGGCTTTGGGGGGACACACAGACATAAACCATAACACCCACTCTCTGGCTCCCATGCAGCACCCTCCCAAAGTCTGTACCTGCCACCACGAGACACGCAGGTAATCCACACCGCAAGACAGAGGTCTCCATGTCCAGTTCCAGCCCAGTGACATGTCCACAGGGAAACTCCAAGGAACTGGTAGACAGCAGTCAGCACACACACAAGCATCAGCTGGGTTCTATACACTACCCACAAGCAAGAGAAAACAAAAAATAAAAACAAAGCCATTTGCAATTGCTCCAGAAGAAATATTTAGGTAGAAGTACTCAAGAAGCATGCTTGTGCTGAAGAGTATGAGATACAGATGACGTCCATGAAAGGAGCTCTGAGTAACCAGAAAGATGCAGCCCTTTCACATAGACACCACCTCGGAGTGGTGAGGACAATGATTCTCCACAAAGTCACCTGGGGGGTCGACACAGCGCTTGACGCCGTATTTACTGGGGTTTGTGGACACGAGGCCCATCACCCCGTCTGCAGCTTTGCTTCTGTGGCTTCGTTACCTGCAGCCAGCTGCCGCCCAGAAACACGAGGTGTAAAGCTGCAGAGGGGAAGGATTCCTAAGTCCTAAGCGTGTGGGCGGCTGTGCAGTGCAGTGTCCCACCTGTCCCACCTGTCCCACACCGTGCATGCTGCCTGCCCCTGTCCCTGCGTAGGCCCCTCGGCGGTCAGATCAACGCAGGAACTATCACAGTGTCCGTGTCATCTCATGATGGCCCCAATTTACCTAAAAGCGGACCATGGATTTAAATACAAAACTATGAAACGACATAGGATAAAACCCTTGGCAGTTGGGTTGGACACAGAATTCTTCTGACTAGACATCAAAGGGAAAAAATCAATAAACAGACCTCATCCAAAAAAAACCTTTTGCTCCACGAAAGACCCCGTGAAGGGCATGAAAAACAAGCCACGCATCGGGAGAAAATGCAAGCAAACTGCGTCTCTAATACAGGATTGCACAGAGCTTGGGTGAGGAGCTCTCAAAACAACACCAAGAAACAAGCAGCCCAATTAGAAAACGGGTAAGAGGGAGGGAAGAGGGGCACACAGATGGCAAACAGGTGCAGGAAAGACGTTCAGCATCCTCTGTCACGGGGAGGTGGAGGCGGAACTGCCACGGGGCATCTACACACCCATCAGAATGGCTAAAATAAAAGGAGTGCTAATACCAACTGCCGGAGGGGATGTCCTGCAGCCGTTGCTGGTGGCGCCACCCCAGGAAAGGGCACGTGGGATTTTACACAACTAAACAGCAACTCGCCTGTCACCCAGGAAAGGCAGCCCTGGACATTTGCCCCAGAGAGAGGGAGGTTTACACTCACACCAAGCTTACGTGCTCACAGCAGTTTTATTCCTAATAGCCCCAAACTGGGAATGTGCCAAATGCCCATCAACGGGCCACTGACTGACTGTGTGCAGCCACCCTGACCCAGCGCCCCGCGATTACAGCCGGCAGTGAGCAGGGGCTTGCTCTCGGTCCAGGCAGGCCACACTCAGACGAAGCTCGGGCTCATTTGGAGACCATCACCGTCTTAGGAGGTGACTCCGTGCATCATCCTATCCATGCATCGAGGCCGAAATGACAAAACCGTAGAGATGGACAGCAAACTGGCTGATGCTGAGGCGGGGGGCGGGGCCTGGGGTCCTGGGAGGTGGCTGCGGGTGTTGGACACACAAACCCAGCTGTGTGACAAAGCCGCACAGAACTGAACGCACGCACCTTCCCACAATGAAACACGAGGTCACTGCTGGCATGGAGCGGATCTCCCGGCGGTAACGCCGCACTACCGGTATGCACGGTGCTCCCACTGGGGAACCCGCGAAGGCGCCGGACTCTGTTAATTTCTCACAACCGCACATGGCTCTCCAACCTTCGCAAAGCAAAAAGCTGTTTTCGGGGAGAGCCACTAACCGCGTCCAAGGTGCATCTAGTGCCAATCTCGTACCACTCGTTCAGAAAACAGAGACCTCTCGCTCGGCTCTCCACTCATTCCAACGGCCAGCGTGGCAGGAGAAGGATACAAGCAGATCAGACTAGTTAAAGGTATAAATTTATGGGCTGTTTCATGGATAAATCAAAAAGCAGAAATCCTGTGTATTAGTTTGCCAAATCCAACGGAGCGCAGGAAGCAGGTCAGAGCGGTGTTGGGTTTACGGGGAGCGCGTTCTGGAAGGCACCACGCAACTCCTGCGGGCCAAGGACCAACCTCGGCTGCCTCAGCGCCACAGTCACGCATTTGGGAAGGGTTTCGCAACTCCTGACACTTCATTCTCGGCTTTGGGACGGCAGGGTCCGCTCCTCTGTGGACGCCGAGGCTGGTCACGGGCGGCCCGCGGCCTGCTGACAAGGCGGCCTGTGCCTTTGTCCCCTGGCTTGGGGGAGCTGGCTGCTGGCTGGGTAGTGACACCTTGGCGGGGTTCCCCTGGCGCCCCGTTTCAGCGCGAGACCCTCAGACCACATCGTGGAACCCTCCTGCCCTCCGAGGCTCGGGGGAGGCAAAGGGGTTGATCCAGGCCAGCGAGACGCGGGACCCGAAGACGGCCTTGAGGTTGGCCCACGCAGATCCGCGGCCGCCCGCGGGCCGCTCGCCCCGCAGCCGCTCGATCGGCGTGCTGTCGGTGCAGATGGTGTGCATCTGCAAGCAGCACATCAGGGCGGCCAGGAGGAAGCCCTTGAGCGCCACGAGGAAGAGCAGGAGGCGCGCGCCGCCGGGCGTCACTGTGCTGCGCGGGCCCCAGTCCCCGCGAGCCCAGCC